TCTTAGGCAAGAAGTTTTAGATCGCTTTGTGACAAAGATTGAATAAAACCTGTTATTACATAATGGATTATCTTTATATGTACGTCTTGTATCACTTGCCTTTTATACCTTTATACCGGTTTTCTTCATACCGGTCAAAAATCCCCGTGGACGGAGCTGACCGGTATACAGAGGTTTCACTGTATATGTAACATGTCTGCCAGGCACGTTCTCGAAATTTAGGCAGAAATGTGTCGTTTTAAATTAAAAAATACCAATGTAATCTCAATACATGTAACATGCCAGCACATTTCTGCCTAATTTTGAAAAAACGTGCCTGGTTGTTTGGAATTAAAAAATACAGGCATATTCAAAATTAGGCGGAAATGTGTCGTTTAAGATTAAAAAACACTAACGTAATCTCAATATATGTAAAATTTTAACCAGGAACAGTAGTTTTGATTACAAAATACTAATAAAATATATGAAACACTACAGTATGGTTAAAAATGTGCTATTTGGCCAACGCCATATTTAAGATAAAATCTATTACAGTATGGTTGAAATGTGTTATTTGAACTATGCCATTTTTAAGATGATAAATCTATGAAAACATTGCATGGCTAAAATGTGTTATTTTTACATTAATATGGATCCATCTCAGATGCTCAATGCTGAAAGTTGTCAGATTTAAGGCTGGCAGTTTGGACTACTTCTACTGTACCTGCGTTATTTGTAGTTGTCTTACATATACATTAACAACAGGTCCCATGTCTGTTATTAATTTTCCACTATCTATTGTTCCACTTCTAGCACATTTCTAGTACTATTCTGAATGTGCAACATTTGGTATTGAAATGTTAGTAATGGTAACGATAATTAGTTGTCTATGCTTGTGCAAATAAAATTTTCCATTAATTCGCACAAAAATTGATACCCACTCAATTAGTTTTTTTCATTAGCATTAGTTGTACATATTGTATTAATTATAATCAGACATTTCCAAGACTGTAGTATGATAACTTTATTATTATATATCAATATTAATACTTCATACATGGTGTTACAAACAATAGTAATAGTGAAGCTTTTAAAATACACCTATCTATTTTTTTCTATCATAACAATAATAAATACCATAAACTGCCATGAATAAGGCCTATCGTGAATAAAGGCCCCTCCATATAAAAAATGGCTGCCGTGAATAAGGGCCGTAATATTATGAAATAGCTGCCCACTTTATCACGTCAACAATTGACGTCATATATTACTTTATTTGATTTATTATAATTCAACTTCACAAACACCCTCTGGTAAAATTATAGCTGGTTTATTCTCCCTCCCAGCACCTTCCTTCCATATTAAATTGTCTTCTGTACCATTGAGAATCATTAGATAGCCCACAGGTTAAAGTAGTTCACTATATATCACATCGCGAAATAACCGTTGTGCGAGTAATCATCGCGCGATTAATCTTGGCTTAACCATAATAATAAGACGAGTTATAATCATAAACGACAACAAATAAATATGAGCTATGACAACAAATAATGCGAACTATATTAAGAAAGACGAGTTTGAAAATCATATGAATTGGTGGTTCGTGATTATGTAATAAACAGAGATAACGCGGACAGTTGTTACGTGATGATTCGTAGATCATTTTGCATTGTTTTTAAGGCGCAACCAAACATTCCATGAATAAGAGCCCCTTTATATGATGAAGGTGGGCCCTTATTCATGCAGTTTACGGTAATAAGCTTGTGCAGTCAACTTATTGACTGAACTAAACTAATGAAAACATAATTGAGACATTATATCATTAATAATAAAACTTTTTTGAATAATGCAAATATTTATTCGCAGTTAGAGAAAAACATGCAGTCTTTTTGAACAATTTGAAAATATGTTGTAGCAAGTGTTTTTGGCTTTGGTGAATGTGAATTTATTTTGCTTTTATACACGAATGCTAGTCGCATTTACGTAGCCATAGCAATAGTAATAAGTCTAAAATGTCACTAAAAATAAAAATTAAATAAAATTTATGAATTTTGAACATGAGCCACAGCTATAAATCAAGCAAAGCCTCACCAAAATGTCATCAACTAAATTGGTTCATTTTCCAGCCACATAAGCTCCTTTTGCTCAAACGATTAAATATTCACTTTGTCTGGTCTGCTCCATATTACTCACTACAAACTTTTTCATGCTTCTAATCATCAATATCACCTTAATTATGACTGTTTATCAATTGTCAAAACAATAATTTATTTATAATCAACAAGTTATAAGCAGCATTGATTCAACTGTCTCATAGTTTACATTCAAATTAATACAAAATTTACAGGACAATTAAGTTTACTAAGATTGGTTTATTATTTTTTTTTTAAATCCAACGACCTAGCTTGCTCAAACTTTTGATCGTTGTTGTGCGGTGTTATTGTAAGAGTTGTTCCATTATTCCGTTGGAGTCTTCGACTGAATCCTATGCAGGAAAAGGAACTCACTCGAATTTCAGTTGTTTATATAACTAAAATGCTACCGCGCAATACGGGAGGCAATCATAACGCCGAAAATTATTTCGCCAACGTAATATTTCGCCGACGATCATTTCACCGAAAATCATTTCGCCGACAATCATTTCGCCGACAATCATTTCGCCGACAACGACTACCAAAGAGGATAATTTCGAAATAATGCTGGTGAATATGTCGGCGAAATGATTGTCGATGAAATGATTTTCGGTTAAATGGTTGTCGGTGAAATATTACGTCGGGTGAAATGATTTTCGGTGAAATGATACGGACCCGCGGAATACCTATTTCTAAAATCTAGCCTATCGCGTTCACATGGCTAAATTTATAAGTGACAAATAATTATGTTAATTGCACACGTCTTCTTTATTCCCTATATACAGTATCTATGGTCGAACCTCGTTATACCGAAGTATAGGGGGGATTCGGTATAATGAGACATTCAGCCTAAGACATGTCTTGTAATTCATTGAACTGAACTATAATCAATCGTAAATCGCTGTTTAGATATTATTAAATTCGCCGTATCACTACCATAAACCTTTCCATTTCTTTTAGCGATGTTCCATAATTTTCTATCGGGGTTTAAGTCAAAACTGTTGAATCCCACTCGCCCTCGTGGCGTATTAAATGTCACATTCAGCATTATTGTTAACAAGACCGTATGACTACCACTAAAAGTTAAAGAGCTGTAGAACTGAAAGTAATGATATATTAGGTATCTTCTAATATAATATAAGAATAACCAAACTGGATGCTAGTTTCCTTCCGTACTTTTTTAAAATTCGAAAAAAAGAAAAGAAAAGAAACAATTTATCTTCTATAAAATTTTGTAGCGTAAGAAGATAATGATGGAGAATGCAAAGTATGCATTGGAGTATGTGTGAAAAAGACAGCCGATGAGAATGTACCAATGAGACCCTGGAAAGAAGGTATCTGATGGAAGTTTCTTTCGACTTCATGATATCAGTTTGTATCAAAGTCTGCATATTAATGTTGACTTGCCTAACTATGGACAACTTTCACTTGCGCATTTACTGTATAGTATACTAATGCTTCCCACGGCAGACCGTAGCATGTGATTTACTTATCGTTATGAGGATTAAGTCAATAATAACAATACTCGACGTTTAATAAACACAATTTATTACAAAATGAACCTTTTTAGAACAAGTTTTTTGAACTTGACTATGCAGTTTTGTCAAACAACATGTCAACTTTTTTGTTACCCTACGGTCGACCTGAATGGTAATATACATTTTTCAATCATTTAGAATCTTTTTTGTATCCGTTATCACATGTTCAAAGTGTTCGTCCTGCGCTTGAACATCTCCAATCTCAACCCAAGCATTGTCGTCCTGACAATCTCTCTTATGGGCAGCAGCAGTGCCACAATCTTTATCATATGCACAATCGCTTCTTTCCCAAATAACATGCTTACTTAGTTTCCGACCAATGATTTTCAATTTGAACGCTCTGACCAACTCCTTTGGTGGAGTCACTGCTAGCGAAAGCGTAATGCCAATTCCCAGTAAAATCTCTACGTCGTTGATGATAGAAATAGACGCGCCTGTACTATCGACGAGTAAAGCGATGACATATATGAAGAGAGATATAAGAGACAGAGAACCAGTTGTAAGCATATACCAAGCCCCGATTGCTGCGGATTGGGCATTTATATGTTGGAGAGGAGTGGGACGAGAAACCGTTTGCTGAGGATAATTTGATGCAACATATGGAGTAACGACTATGGCAGCGCACGAAGTGGTATCCACATTTTCATTATTACCCTGAGGATATAAGACACATTCTACGTCTTCCGCCCTCCTCTTGACATCACACGAACGTGTAGTAATGACAGGGAAGAAAGTGTAACCCAATGCACTAATCATATTCCACAAAGTCAATACGCTCTGCGTAACAATCATTGCAACATGCGGGACGCTATCTTCCCTTGCCAATACGATAGCACCACTAACGATATATGCCAAATCCATAAAAATGATTTGAAGTAAAATAGATTTGAAGAGCCGCGTATTCCATCGGTTTGGCGGATAAAATTTCCTCCCCATATCAAGAAGTGTGAGTAGTAAGATTGAAAGCGAAAGAGCCGAGATAAACGATGAAAGAGACCAGAATGTGTGCCACTTGAAAATAGGTGGTTGAGGGACTGACGTGAGGTAATTGAGAACTGAGAGAATAGTTAGGAGTATGGTCGACGTTAGGCTGACGTCGTGTAACAATGATATGTCGTTTATTGAGGGTAGGAGAAAAAGATGGAAAAGAATGCGTTAATGAAACCAGTAAGCACTAAAATGTCATAATCTGTCTAACCACATAAAACAAATGATCACACATTCTCGCACTCAATTCTTTCACCATTGACGTTATTTTCACTTACCAAGCAAGTCTCAACCTCGTAAAGTGATAACAGCATTGATACATTAATAATACTGCTCCGACACCAGATAACGCAATACTTGCTATTATTATTACATGTTTTGTCGACATGATCATTTTGGATACGTATCCATAAGTTACAGAGAAGATATACAAGGAACGGTATGTGAAATATAGACAATAAGATTGGGGATTTTATAACGAAGCAAGCGGGCAGTCGTAATAATGGAAAATAAAGGAAGGTATAAGGAAAATATATTGAGAGAAAAAACGAATGTGGGGGGGGGGGGGTCAAGAAAAACAAGGTAATGAATGTGATAAGTCAAATGTATAGCGAATTTAATTCAAACGTCGTTACTTGTGGCGCTCGACTCGTCAATTTTTACATATATATATATATATATTGAATCGGGGTATTGTCAAGGATTTTCCGCTTTCGGGTGTATATTTGACACTAAATGAAGTAATACTCAAATCGAAGATAATACATCTATAGGAACCAAAGGAAAAACTTGCATACTCTAATCGGTTAGTTTATGAGCAAAATAATTAACTAGACAACGAGCGTGTCACTTTCCAATAATACACCAAATGCTCTTAGACGTCCACTGATATTAAAAAGGTAAGGCGATATGAATTAATTTTAATGTTAAATCTTAACACGTTCCTTTGTTAGAACCAATTTCTAGTTATCTCGCTACGATCTATCGAGAATATCAGGCTCAAAACAGTCGATAGGAAAAACCCGAGCCCTGCGTAGCTTGCTTTTATTATATTGTGTTTGATCGTACGGTGGTTAGTGTAACCATAAAATGTACTATCCCTATTACCTCTGTCATTACCATTCCATTCAACGCTTATTGCCTGCATAATTTCCATACTCGATTCTGCATCCAACTATTCTTGGTTCCCTTTTCCAATTAAGCTTATTACTTCATTTCCCTTGCATTTGCGTTCATTTTCTGCATGATTGTTTACCACGCAAGTAATCAGCATCAACTAATTTGCTTGAGAAGTTAATATCGACCCGACCGTCCGACAAAGTTATAAAAAAAATCATGATAAAGAATCAGCAAAAAAACTTACAAAGGGATGTGATGCCAAAGTACGCTTGATATGTGTGTATATAAAATTTTACTAAAAAGTAGATGTTTCATATTGTACAACATGTAATTTAACAAATGTCCATAAACAGTAACAATCGTAGTATAAACAATGCGCCTTGTACCAATACGATGTAATCATAAATAAGCCAAATAAACAAAACAAAACATAACATATTAATATATGCACAAGTGCTATCAATCTACGATAACAATGCTTTTTCCACGCCTTCATAAACACGTGAAACGGGCATAAGCGGAATGATTAATTGTAACAATCGAATAGTGAGATAGCCAGCCCAGCTTGATATTAAGCAAGTGAGAGAGCAGCTGCAGGAGGATGTTGTAACATCTACATGAACTAGTTGATCGATGGAGACGAATACAAAGAAACGAAGAACATGGTCATCGTATGAGTAACATCCAAATGAAAATAGATATTGACAAGTTGAGACAGAAACTTGTCAAAGTTGCTGGCCCTTTCAACTAATGGACGCAAACCAGATTAGTATCAAGTCACTGGCCTTTATCTACATAAATAAGTTGACATTATTACAAGTGTTACTCATTATGAATCTCTTTATTTCTTTACGGTGTATGTAACCGGCATAATTGCAAATTTCTCGAACTAAAACCCAGTCGTTGACTTTCTTCATTCTGCTCTCCTACCAAATATCGATACCGTTTGTTCACCTGCCAATATAGGCCATTCGATCCGATCGCTCGATCAGCAGTGGCAAACTATGATTGGTTCGAAAAAGAATTTAGAGTTGGTTGGCTTGTTTGCCAAAGCGGGAAAGCTGGGATGGGTTAGGGGGAAAAATGCAACTTTAGATTGAGCGTAACAATTAAAAATGACACTGTTTGGCCGTATTGTTTTAAGCTGCATGTATTGTGTATAGTATGAAATGTCTTTGAATTAATTCCAAATTGCAGAGATTACTGAGTAACCAATAAAAGCACATATCTTGGACAGAACAAGAACAAATTCCTGCATTAGCGGTAATATTCTTACGTAACAAATAAATGATTGGTTTGACAACAAATTTTCAATGAGTTTTCCCAATTCCAAAAAAAAACTTATTTAGCTTTAATTGATCGCATGCATTGAACTATATATAGCTAATAGACTATACGTAACGAAAGAACACTTTCCTTTTTATGCAAAAGACTCGCAAATGCATATAATATGTAACACCATACTTCGGAAATTGCATAGATTCTTTCTCTACGTTGTTAAAAAGTTATGAAACATGTCTATAACGAATGGTAAAGTGACACCTAATTTCTATTACGGATTACAAAAGAAATGCTAGTTTGAATTCAACAATTGGTGACGCGGTTCAAGCATGAACGGGCATTTTTAAAACGATAGTTTGTTACCTACAGTAGGCTGGGTGAAAATATGACATTGCGACGCGGATTAAAAGCTCAATAATTGAACGTAACATATTTACAACTATGTTGTGCTCGAGTGGGAAAATATAAGTAATAACATCAGGTTTCGTAATAATAAATAATTAATTCTTCTCCTAATTAACGTTAATTTAACTTCCCACTGTTAACCGACAATTAGTAAGCAATTTTATAATAAGTATCTTGCCATTAACGAAAACTTTCTGGTTTCTCTCAGACGCAGTTAGATTGATTCTGGCATCAATATCGTGGAATTAAAATTTATTAATCTTCTTTAAGTCATTGCTCGAAACATGCAAAAACATCTCACCAAACCAACTGACGTTTACAAAACTTAATCGATATTTTTTTTCAAATACCATTGATTATCATGTGTTTTGTAGATTAAAATACACCCAGACGAGTTTTAGCATTTTGCTATACATTTTATTTATTGTGTTAAACAATTATAAAGACAAGAGCATGATGCACTACCATGTAATTGATTGCTAAGATTATGATGTTGCATCACAAAGTTATATTGCTGTAACAATTAAGTCTCGCGTACAACTAGTTATGCGTCATGTACGCTAGAGTATGCTAATGTTGTGTCAATAATAAACAAACAATAGTAAACCAGGCATACCACCATTAGACTAAGATTGTGTAACAACTAAAATGTTACATTAATACCGCATAATAATGAAGTTTAACTATTGAATGGATGGCCAAAATTATAATGTAACTTGTATAACAGAGGCAGTTTTTTAAGTTCTAGAGTAAAAATACAATGCTCTTGAAAAGGGTTTGAATAGTAACAATTTGTTATTGACTATTCTTTAATAGCAAATATAATTTCAACAAATTAAGTCTGTAGCTCGGACATTGCTACACGTGCTCTACAGAATCTTACGTATTTTTGGGCGTCAATTGCTTCAGCCGAGATAATGACCGTATCGTACTCTGTTTCAAACTTTTCGGGTACAAATTAACAAGACTGTTTTACGAAAAACTTTGGTTGATACCAGATTACTTTAAAAGTGTAATAGAAGATCCGTTTATGGCAAGCTCATAAAGAGTCTGTTTTAATAAAAGTTTTTCTTCTTTCGTACTTTACAGTTATTTGTAATATCGCTTAGATGACAGCTTTTTACCAACGTTGCACTTGTGAAGCTACGATAGTAACGACGGCATATTTTTCTCTCCGTCTCTACGTAATTCTGATTGATGTTTGATTGGAGATGTCAAATGGTTTACAAAGTGACATCCGCATTCGCTGACTAAAATAGCAAAACCCCACTCGAATAGCTATAAAGTATGAAGAAAAAGAAAAACGCACAACGTCAATGGAACGACGTGCACGTAATGCTTCTATTGAGTACAGTACATTGTAATAAAAAAAGTGAGTGTCGGGTAATGGCAGGCAAGAAAGATTACTATCGACGTGTCACATGCATCCGTCAGGTTTCATTTCTGCAAATTCAATTGCCACAAATTGGTTGAGCATGGCGCGAAGCTTTCCCCACAAGCATTTAGGTTAAGAAAGGTATAAAAAAATTACTTCGTTACAATGACAATTGCAAAAAAACAATCTTTACCAATGAACTACATTTTAATTGCGCAGTCCGCTTAATACCAAGAGACAGGCAAAACATTTTTGCTTAGAGGGTTCTGATTTATCTCATCATGGATAGTACACTCTACATCTCCTAAAGGGCAAAGTGTTGGAGGAAAGCGGAGACAATTATTCTAAACACATTAACCGAAATTATATTGGAGCGCTAAAGAGACATAATCGTATGACTAAAAATTTTTTTAAAAAATATGTTCCAGAAGTTGCTCTATCGAAAATTTCTGAGCGAAATAGAAGGCGCGTACCTAAGAATTTCATGAACTGGAGAGAATTATGATGAAATATAAAATGCCGTCTCAATCGACATTCTAATATGTTGTCTGCATGTTGACAGAGCAACATTATTTCAAAGTTTTCCCTTTTATAAAGAAAAGCAATTTTCTGTTAGATTCTGTGCATTTACATAATTTCAAGTATGTTCTTGTTGTATGCATATAGCATATCAAATTTTGACCTATCATTGCTA